TTTTTTTCCGAGACAGGGTTTCTCTGTATTGTTTTGGAACCTGTCCTAGAACTCGGTCTACAGACCAGGCTGGCCTCGAACTCAGAGATCCGCCTAGTGCTGGGATTAAAGGCATGTACCACCAATGCCCAGAATAAATAATGTTCCTTAAAAACTACACTCAGGCTAAAATAAGCCCAACTCCAATTTAATCCAATACATACTATATACTATGCATTCAACAGACCCAAATTATACCAATTTACATATCCACAAACAAAAACCTAAAGAAAGCTTACAAGCCAGGTGTTGGTGGCGCACACCTTTAATCCCAGCACTAAGGAGGCAGAGGCAGGCAGATCTCTGTGAGTTCAAGACCAGCCTGGTCTCCAGAGCAAGTGCCAGGACAGCCTCCGAAGCTGCATAGAGAAACCCTGTCTCGAAAAACCAAAAAACAAAAAGAAAGAAAGAAAGCTTACAAAAGCAAAAAAGCATAAACTATACCATAATTTGGACATTTCTATCTCAATTTCATGATTAACAACTCTGTAACAGTAATTTGACTCTCCAGAATTTTTCTATTCCATTTGAAAAATGTAAAATTCTAAATAGCAACATTTGCAGTGAGCAATTAAAAACTTTTCTCTAAATTTATCCAAAGACATTTTACTTTTTTTTGGCAAGCACAGGATTTTTTTTTTCCTCTAAAACATTTCATAGGAACTCTGCATTGCAAAACAGTTGCAGAGATGCAGGAGCAATTCCTACTCTGCATACTCCAGTTTCTTACAGTGGCCTTTCTAGGGTGCCTGCATACCACCTCTGAGCAGCAGAACGCAGAGAAGTGCATCTACTCCTCTGGTTTCATCAGCATCCTCTTGGCAGCACCCCAGTTCTGAGACATGTTTGTATTTGCTGTCCTAAGCATGCCCTTCATACTCCAGAGTTCTCATGTGTATCAAAGGAACACAAATCTTGTCTGGGCATACCTTCAAATTAAAGTTTCCACTACTGAGTTGAACCTAATTCCACCCACACAGAGAACTGAGCTCAATGAGTAAAAATGTAACCATGTAAGCCATTAGGCTATACCAAAAGTGTACATAGCAATCAAAATTTAGTTGGAAAATTAGTGGAAGATTCCTGACCTGGCACTATGCCACAGCACACTAGTAAAGTCTGTAAAAACCTAATTCTTAGTTTAAGAAGTATTGATAGGCTCGAAGTTTGACATATTGGCAGGTAAAGCCTTTTTTTTTTAACTTAGTTTTTATTCATAATCATAAACTTAACTCTGCATTCCAGCTAGACTTGGAGGAGAATGAGGAAAATATGGAACCTAAAGAATTTCAGTGAGAGCAGAGATTACAGGGCATTTCGAGCTGACGGGGTGGGGATGCTCTCCTGAGCTACAGAAGGAATGGTCTGGTAGGTAAGAAGCCCGCAAGTCCAAAGAATTAGAGCTGCCCACAATCGGAATGGTGATCCTCTTGTTGGTCTTGCCATTCCTGGACCCAAAACACTCCATGGCTTCCACAATGTTCATGCCTTCTTTCACCTTCCCAAAGACCACATGTTTGCCATCCAGCCACTCAGTCTTGGCCGTGTAGATAAAAAAATAGAAATCATTTGTGTTTGGTTCAGCATTTGCCATGGACAAGATGCCAGGAACTGTATACTTCAGAATGAAGTTCTCATCCTCAAATTTCTCTCCGTAGATGGACCTGCTGATGGTGCCATTTTGGAGTGTGAAGTTACCACCTTGGCACATGAATTCTGGGATAATTCTGTGAAAGGAGGAACCCTGACATCCAAATCCTTTCTCTCCAGTGCTCAGAGCATGAGAAAGTTTTCTGCTGTCTTTGGAACTTTGTCTACAAATAGCTCGAAGGAGACTTGGCCCAAGGACTTACCATCAGCCATGATGTCAAAGTACGCGGTGGGGTTGACCATGGCTGCAGGAAGAGGCAACAGGGGACAGCAGCGTCTGCAAAGCCTTAATTTTTATTTATTTTTTTATACTGGCAACTGAATTCAAGGTTTGAGCACACTAGGCAAAAACTCTATCAACTGAACTATAATTCCACACACACACACACACACACACACACACACACACACACACCCTTTTAAGAGAGGGATGAGGTTGGCCTTGACTCCTGATCCTCTTAGTTTGTTCTGAGTGACAGGATTACATGTATAAGCCACCTTGCCCAGATTAAAATCTTTATTTTTGTATGTTATATCCCAAATATAGTTAACGTAACAGAAAATAATAATCTGGATCAAGATGTCACAATCTACTACACACTATGAAAATGTACTAGTTAATCTTAAAAAATAGAATTAAAAGACAGAAAAGACATCTTTTAAGTTAATGGCCATGCTAGTTACAATAAGTAGCATGCATTACATCAGACTGGGAAGCAAAAATCTTCAAAGATTTTCAACATGATAGTAAATGGGGTTCTCCCCCTCCCACTGCTTGGGATTGAACCCAGAGCTTCCTGAATGATAGGCGAAAGCTCTGCCACTAAGTTATAGCTTAATGTGGCATTTTTCTAAAACAAAATAATAACAGCATCCATTAGAACATCTGGATTTAGGGCTGGAGAGATGGCTCAGAGGTTAAGAGCACCGTCTGCCCTTCCAGGGGTCCTGAGTTCAATTCCCAGCAACCACATGGTGGCTCACAACCATCCGTTATGAGATCTGGTTCCCTCTTCTGGTGTGCAGATATACATGGAAGCAGAAAGTTGTATACATAATAAATAAATAAAATCTTAAAAAAAACAAAAACATCTGGATTTAACATTTTCTCAATAACTGTTCAATTCTAGCTCTGAGAAAAGTCATGACAATGTCTCAATCAATTACAGCTAAGTTTTAAAGTACTGAAGATTTACAACAAAATCAACATATTTATAGGCAACTGTGTAGCATGAGAAGTAGCTTTGCAGAATGAGGATGCTACTGAAATCATTTCTCTGATTGCACCTGCCAACTCTGACACTGCAGTAGTGAAGACTCCTTCTCCCTTACAGTATTTACTTTACCATAAAACTGACTTTTCTTTATAACCAAGTGACTTTGAGAACTGACAAAGAGAAATGAAAATACAGTCATCACTAGGCATACTAACCTATTAATTTTCTAACTCCATCTAACAGTTTCTCTCTCTAATTTCACAATTCTGTTAACTTAGCAGAGAACTATTTTATTTCAGTTGAGTTCAGCAAATTTTCATACATCAAAAATTTTACTCAGCTAAATTTGGCTGGGTGAGGTAGTGCATGTCTGTAACCCAAACACTCAGGAGGCTGACATGGGAGAATCAGTTAAAGGCTAGCCTGTGTTATACACCAAGAAGGCTTCCAAAAAAAGACCAGAGCTAATATGAAAACAAGTTCTTTGAAGGTTCCCAAGCTGTCAGGAAAAGCAGAAACATAAACAGTAATGCTACATAAAATCCTTCATCTAAAGATCATCCTTACTAGTCTACCCTCTGATAGCCTAAAGAGCAAAACTAAGAATTCACCTATTTGATATATGGTCCATTTACACAAACCAATTTAAAAGCTTGATGAAATCAGCAAATGATCAACTCATGAAGATTAAGCAGTAGATGCTTGTTTGGAGTGGAAAATAATTTAAAATTGGTTGGAAATGTCCAACAACTTAGCAAAACCTACGTGATGAGCCGCAAAAGTAAAACATGAGCCTCAGTTAAAAAGTCAAAGGTTCCATGGAATCATGTTACATTTCTCTCAAGTGGACAAACTTGGGAATCAATACTTTTCTGGCAGAATTACGGCTCTGGTACCTCGTCTTCTAGAAAAAGCACCTGTGTGCTCAATGTTCTTTTTATTAGCTGCCAGCTGCAACCTCCCCTTACTATCCTTATTTTTCAGGAGCACTATAGAAAAAAAAATCATTCATGCAAAAATCTGCAAAATAGCAGTAGACTACCAGTCCTGAAAAAGCAATCAAAAATACCCCTCATTTTTTTTTTAACGAGGTAACCCCAATCCTAGAGTTACCAATGGGTTCCTGGTGTGTTGGTGTATTGGTGTATGCCCTCTTAACCCAGGAATTTCCACGGACCATATTTCTACCCTGTGGCCAATATGCGGGTCAACTCAAGCCGTACACAAGTGTTAACAAATCTCACTGAATTATCTGAAGCGTCCAAAAACCTCTTGTACGTTTGATTTTTAAAATTGAAAGGTAACGTGTTAAAATCCTTTTAGATTTAAACTTGCCGGACATCTAAAACCTTAAGAACGAAGCACAAAGGAAAAGAATAATAAATCACTCGCCTCAGAAGAAATCTGAGTGACATCTTTATTTTCAGAAATCACTACCCTCTTCAAACATCACTTCCTCTCCATTCGCCTCCCCCAGTCCCTGGACGCTAATCAGTGATGCATACCCGCTCCTCGCACTCCAGATTCTTAAAAGGATCACAAACAAGAAAGCCCTACAGCCCACATCCACTACCCAGGGATCTTTGACGCCTTGAAAGACATTTACCTGTAAAAAAGCCAAGGCCCTAAATTAGATCCCCCAAGGGCTCCTTTTTCTTCTTGGATTTTTTATCTCTAACCTTTAGGCCAAAAGACTTCCCATCCGACCCCTCCCTCTTTCCAGTCAACCCTAACTCCCGCCCTTCAAAGTCACCATTCCCACCAGGTCAGGTGGCTGTCAGTCCCCACCCGGCTGCCTTGCCCTCGCGCTGGTTTCAGGCGGCCCGGGGCCAGCTCTTCCCATCCCTCATCTCCACGGCCACAGCCCAGGGCACCTCCTCCTCCTCCTCCTCCGGGTTACGATTCCGGGGACCCCTCACATGTGACTCCTTCACCGAGCTGGGCTGCAAAGGCCCAGTCCCCTGCTCTTCGCCCCTCGTTGCCCGCAGGTCAACGCAACCCCCAGATTTCCTCCGGATTCCATTCCAGAGCGGCCTCCCCCGGATCCCCCAACCGTCTCCCCGCGGCCCTTACAGTCCCCGGCTCTCCACTCACCCTTGGCTGCAGGCGCCCCCCAATCTCTCCCCTCTCCTCAGCCC